GGTCAGAGGAAGAGGGGTGGCTCACTACTCGGTTCGTCGGTATAGTGAAATTAAGGACGTCTACGCCCTTAGTGAAATGGAGATGTTGCTGATATTTAAAAGGAATCGGATGACACGAGGGCATGGAGGGAGTGTGGAGAACCGCACAGACCGGGTCCGCCACCACACATAGCACCGCACGCGTTTTGGACTCGAGAGTGGCGCCGGCGCTGAGCCTCGTAGGGGCCGCCGGGGTCTCGAGCTAGGATCGTACAAAGATGTAAGGTACAAAAACCAGAGGCAGAGCAGCTGCGCTTCGCTCGCAGTTCGGCTACGCCAGGAGGAGAGACGTGAGTCGTGACACAATCGACGGAAGAAACTCAATCATGTGAACAGAGAGTCACGCGGAACACTACAAAGAGCAGTTACTATCTCCGCATTCCAACGCCGCACGACCACACCACAGGAGCCTGCTGAGGCACAGGCGACAGGGTTTAGTGGTGGCCCCCTTTCTTTTGGCTTTTTCTAGTTATTCCGTGTTTTTCTTCTATTTCCGCCACCTGTAATGCCTTCCGAAAACGCCACCATATGTGTGTGTGTGTGTGTGTGTGTGTATGTGAATATGCCGGGGTTGTGTTTTTGTGTGAATGCGTGTCGCGCACTCATTCATGACCGGTCGGTCTCAATGCCCCACCCCCCTGCGCGCGGGCCTTCTAGGCCCGCGGGTAGTCTCCCCCCATCCCCAGGGCCTCCAGGGCTCGCACCTCAACCTCTCACAGACCAGCGCATCGCGCCATTGGAGGTACTTTCTTCTCAATAACAAGGCTGTGAAAATGGGCCACGATATCATCTCTTCCGTCGCCGCGATTAATGGCCAAACGTGTGCGTTCCGGAAGAGCGCCACCCGCCTAGCATGTCTCCTCTCGGGTCCGCCTTTGGCGAGCCGCTCCTCCCGCGCGCGCCACCGCCAGGCGATTGCTCGCGACGGCTCCGCCAGGCCGCCATCCTGGCCTTCGGCACCCTCTCAACCGTGCAGCTTGGGCTGGGTGTCGGCTCATTAAACAACCTCTGCTCGGACGCCTCCTCGTCGCTGCCTTGGTGTCCCGTCCTGGTGGCGGCGTTTGGCCTGGGCGGGCTGCTCGGTTCGGTGTTGAGTGCCCGCTGCGATCGTCTCGCGCGCAAGGCGGTCCTCCTCCTCAGCCGCCTCCTCCTCCTGGCCTCATCGCTCCTGCTCGCCGGCGGCTTCTTCACCTCTGGCCTTCCGAGCGGCCTCCTCTTGCTCACCGGCCGAGGCCTGCTCGGAGCGGCTTCCGGCATCGCCACCGCCGTGACGCCGCTCCACCTCGCGGAGGTCAGCCCGGCGGAGATTCGCAGCGTGGCCAGCGCGGCGCAATCAGCTGGCGTCGCTATCGGAATCCTCCTGGCGCAGCTCGCGACGCTCGGCGGGCGAGAGGGTGGCGTCTACCTTCTTCCGGCGCTGTGCGCGGCGCTGGAACTGACGGTGCTGCCGCTCCTGCCCGAGTCGCCAACCCACGTCCTGCGTCGCTCCGGCTCGGCCGCGGCCCTCTCCCACCTGATGACGCACCTGCACCTCTCCCACGCGGGCGCGGCCGCCCACACGGAGGCCCTGCGCTCCGAGTTGGCCGAGCAGTCGGGGGAGGGGCCCTTCTCGCCGCGGGAGCTCCTCTCCGCGCGCAGCTTGCGCAGGGAGCTGCTTCTCGCCGCCGCTGTCGCCCTCTCCGCCCAGCTTTGCGGCGCCAGCTTATCATCTCCCCCCCCTCTCTATCCCCGACTCGAGAGAGAGAGGCTCAACTTGGGCCTTCCTTCCCCCGGACCCTTCCCGGGGCCTCGCCGTAGGCTTGCACTTCCCTCTTCTACTAATTCGACGCTCGTCTTCACCCGTATCCGGCCTCTCCCACCCCCGAAGGGGGAACCGCCTGCCT